TCCTCACCTTATGGTAAATTTTTCTGTTTCAGATAAAAGAATTGTCCACAAAATCACTAGTAAGCGTCAAACCACATGATGGTAAGTGCAGGCTATAAGAAAAGGCTATAAATTAGGTTGATTCTACTTCTGAGTCTAACATTTTGGTTCAGTTATCCTAATATAAAATGCTAAAATACAATTATCTTAGTACATATGGTACAGTACATTACAAATTGATACTTGAACTTCACAAATTTTATTTTAAAAATCAAATCAGCACTTGCAATTTAACTGTACTTCATATTGTGTCAGCGCTGCTGGTTCTTTGCCTCTTTTCTGTTGTGTGTCAAACCTGCACAGACTTGCAACATTAAGGTTTTACAAGGCACAAAGCTGAACACTTGAAGGGAGGAGATATGAAAGCATGGCATTTAATAATTTTAAAAATGTAAATTATTTTACAACTTTTGGTTTGGGTTTTAAAAATACTTTAGGTTGAATAGTTTTATTGTTGGCTGCCTATTGGCATCTTGGGCAGGTGGAGATTTACTTCACATGCTTACAAAGGACAGATATTGAGAGGGTAGGTGAAATTCAATAATTTACAAACAATTTTAACAACTATAATAATGCTTTGCACTGATAGCACCTTGTATCTGAGGATCTCAAATAACTTTATAGACAATTAGTTAAACCTTACAGCCCTAAGATCTAGGCAGATGTTGCAGGGTGGAGTCCCAGAGCACACCTCTGTAGAGCTTGCACTGCAGTCGCCTCATCTCAGTTCCCCTCTTAGTTCTCCTGTGGCTAAGAGTTTTAACATTGTAGGGTAACTTAGCTCACATGAGCAGACTCAACTTAAGACAAGACGGCCCTGAACAAGTAACTGCTGAATAAACCCGAACAAGTAATTGCTGAAACAACTAACTATTGTGAATATGTTTATAGAAAATAAGGGAGGCAGAAACTAACTAAACTAATGATTGTGGGTATGTATATAGTAAACAAATTAGGCAGGAGCAGCCTGAACTGATAAGCTTGCCTTAAGCTATCTGCATAGTGATTGGACCTCACATGTAAGAAGTGTAGATGTTAGTAGCTAGAATGTATGTACACGGTGTGATGTGTGACATGAATTGAAATTATGGTATCAAACCCCCTGCATCTGGGCCTGACCAGTGTGGGCAAAGAGCTGTTACATGCCTAATAAAGTAACCTGAGTGATGAGCTGGAGCTAAACTGAGATTTTTGAATTCCAGAAAGCTGAACGAAGTGTTCTTCCAGAACTGGATGAGGTGTTGTGGATAAGCTGAGTGGAAAGGTCTCCAAGGGAATCCCAAGAACATAACATTCCTCCCTCTTAGGGCCTGATTTATTGAATCCTCACAAAATAAACACTCTTCCTTTGGCCCGTCCAGGCTTCTACCCTTGCTTATTCAGGGTTTCGAATTTACCCCTGTTTCAGGGCTTCTGACTCCTGCTCTTTCTTGGATCCCCAGTTCCATCTCTGCTTGAGAAGCTCTGCCAGTCCCACTCTGGCCCCTGAGCCCCTCTTGTGAGACATTCCTTCCCCTCTCCCCCAAGGCCTTTTTCTAGCCCTGGTCCCTGGACTCAAATTCTTCTTTCCCTTAGGGCAGAGTCTCCACAGCCCAGCCTTCTTGGGGTTGTACTTGAATCCTGGTAGGGTTTCATAGCCCACCATCATCGTGGTTCACCACAGGAGATCCTCCCTGCAATCTTCTCCTGACTCCAGGCTTGCTTTTAACTGAGCTAAGAGCTTTAATAACACTCAGTGGCATGACTTCTGGCCACCATTCCCATCTTGGTCTGGGGAGCTTTCCTGGAACTACTTGTTCTTAAAGGAGCCATGCATTGGAATCAGTTGGCCCTGGGCCCTCACTGCTGTCACAAGGGACAAACTATGCTATTATAGGAAGCATTTCACAGATTAGAAAACAGAGACAAAAACAGGTTGAGTGACTTGCCCAGGTTTACACCTACAACTAAGTGGCAGAGCAGGATTTCAGGCTTACCTCTTCCATCTCCAGCAACTAGATAATACTGTCACTTCAATTCCTTAGTAAAGCAACCTTTTACTATTTTGGAAACTCTGTTGGTATAAAATGTTGTCTTTCCCTTGAAATATGTTCCGTAATTAATTTATAAATGTGCTACAGTAGAACCTCAGAGTTACAAACACCTTGGGCATGTAGGTTGTTCGTAACGCTGAAATGTTCGTAACTAAACAAAACATTATGGTGGTTCTTTCAAAAGTTTACAACTGAACATTGAGTTAATGCAGCTTTGACACTTTACTATATAGAAAAAAAATGCTGCTTTCCCTTTATTTTTTTTAGTAGTCTACATTTCACAGCACTGTACTGTATTTGCTTTTTTTATTTTCCTTTGGTCTCTGCTGCTGCCTGAAAGCATATTTCTGGTTCCAAATGAGGTGTGTGGTTGAGTGGTCAGTTCATAACTCTGGTGTTTGTAACTCTGAGGTTCTACTGTATAAGTAAATATCTGCTAGTTTGAATGTATACGTCTGTTATTGTTTACTGTAAGACATTTGTTGTTAGCTTCTTTCTTTTGTGCTGTTTTAGTGAATGCTCCAGCACAGCATGTTGTAGAACCTAAATCAAGTCTACAAGACACACATGGTAAGTTCTGTAATAAACTCAGTTTCAGTAAATGTAAATCTAATACTCAGTCTTCACAATTTATCATCTGTGGGATCATTTCTATGACAATACTTAAATTCAGTGGAGAATACAGTTTAATTAACTGTGCTTTAATTCTCACATTAAACATTGTTTTAAAATACATGTAAAGGGACACTGTAGAGGTGGGTAGGTATAAAAACTGACAGTGCTTTGAGAGTGATTCCCACAAGATGGATGATTTTTACCTTCCTGGTGTATTCTATGTAATTTGTTTTTCCAACTGATCATCAGAATGAACAGTGGAGGGGAAGCAAAATTGTGACTTTCAGTGAACAAACTGGTGTTTGCCTAAAGAGTGCGTGTGAAGTGGTTTGTTGGTTGTAAGTCTTGGAAAAAATATATTTTTAATGTGGTTTCAGTCATTAGTTAGAGGGAAAATACAACAGAAATAATCAGGAAGCTAGAACTCTCCAGTTGGGATTATTGTCTTTGTGTACTGTAAGTTAATATTTTGGTTTAATAGCCCACAATATTCTGATGTCTAAATACAGAAAAATATCTACATTGACATTGTATTCAATCATCCTACTTTGAGTGCAGTGCTATTGTCTAAGACTGTATCATCGTACTGTATCATGTCTTATTGCTTTAATTTTTTTCTTTTTAAACAAAAGCAATATTTTGTTGTTGAGAATATCAAAATAGTTTCCATTGGGTCTCAACTTTCAAAACAATGACTAATACTGTTACCGTGGTAGCTAGATAGCTTCAGTGATCAATAAGATTCTTTTCTGCATAACATTTCAAATAGTAAAGTGATAGAGTTGTGGGTGTTGTGTTAGGTTTTTATGTATTATGAATATTACTATGCATGCAGTGTGAATGAATTTTGAAAAAAAATCTAAAATTGTTAAATTAACTTTTATTTCTAAATAGAGCTTTGTAAGAAACACCACAGAGAGAGGAAATTTAATACATCTCAGAGAAGCTTCTATAATTTTTCTTGCTTTACAATAAAAATTTAAGTTCAGAGGTATCCAAAAATAGAGAGTGGAAAAAAGGTTTCACATGTTATGGAAGCTTTAGACAACTTAATCAGGAATGAGAAACTGAAACTAATGTATTGATTTGAAAAGATATGCTGTGACTGGAAATAACAAATTAAGTAACCTTAAAGGGCTTTTTATGTATTACAAAGTAGTGGTGTTCAAATAATATTAAAGTAACATTTATTACTAACCTATAGTCGGCAATAATTAAGGAAATATATTTTTTTAGATGGAATGGCAAAGTAATAATAAAAACATATTTATAAGTTTTCTATCTTTTTATACTCAAACAACTTCTTATACACCAAGATGGGAAGGGGAAGGCAAGTATAAAGTAGTTAAGATATGGAATCAGAGTTCAAGGATCTGGTGTTGTCAAGAGGGTGTGCTTCTACAGTGTTCACAGTGTAAAGCATTATTTTAACTATTCCATTTTTTCCATTTTTTCATCTGCAGTAGGAGAAATTTTTTTTAGTTCTCTGACTTGCTCATTTACATCTGCAGTTTCAATGATTAAATTCTCCTCATTTCTCTGCTCTTATTGTGGATTCTGTTGCATTTTATAACACTTCTCAACATAGAAAACGATTGCTCTTTGTCAGTATACAGAAAGTTCAATGTTGTTTACTAATGAAACCTCAATGAGAGTGCTGACTTTGCATGATTTTGCTGATGATGATTTTATTTATCTCTGCAGGTCTCTCTCTGTCTCTCCCCCTACTTTCCTCCCTTCTGCATTTTGTTTTTTTTATCATTAACATTCCAAATTCCGGCTCATAAAGGCTAGTGGAAACTAGAGCCTTCCCCTAACTTTTCATGGGATTTTCATGGGATCTAGCTATATAACCAAAGGATGTAATGGAGCTACATCTAATGCCCTTCTGAAAATGTCTGAGTTTCTTAGCAATTTCAGTAAATACTACTGCTTTTTTTTTTATTAGGCCATTTTGAAATCAGAAGATCTATCATATTCCTATCAAAGCAGTTGCCCACATCTGTAATACCCAGACTGTTACTTTTTTTGGATAGAATTACTTCTGAAAAGTGTAATCTTGGATAAAACTTTCAAAAGTGCCAAAACCTCATTTAGAAGCCTGAACCTCATTTTCAAAAGTGACTTATGCATTTAGGGCTAAATCCACAGAGGAACTTCACTCAGTGTTGCAACACCTAAGCCCTAGGTGCCATTCAATGCATGGAGACAGTTAGGTGCCTGCGGAAGGGATCATCAAAAGCCAGCAAGCTGAGCGGGGAGCCACCTAAATTAGACATGAGTGAAATGCAGAGGAAAGGGGTGAGGCTTAGGTCCAGATCCTCAAAGGTGTTTAGGCACCTTACTGCCATTGATCTGGGCCTTAAGTGTCTGAAAGGCTGGAGGGAGGTGCTACCCTCCACTTGAGCCATGAGCCACTTCTTGGAGTTAGGCACATAAGGCAGGTCAGCCTATCCCCTAGCATGCAAAACCCAGACCTTTCTTGTGGAAAAACAAGAAAGAGGGAGAGATCCCATCATAGCTAGGGGTCGACCAAATTTGCAGCCGTGAAAACTGCATCACAGACCATGAAATCTGGTCTCCCCTGTGAAATCTGCTTATATTATAGGGTAAAAGTATACAAAAGTGCACAGTGTTTCTCAAACTGGGGACCCCAACCCACAAGGGGGTCGCAAGCCTATTGTAGGAGGGTCATGGTATTGCCACCCTTACTTCTGTGCTGCCTTCAGAGCTGGGTAGCCAGAGAGTGGCAGCTACTGGCTGGGCACCCAGCACTGAAAGCAGCGCCGCCGCCAGCAGCAGCACAGCAGTAAGGGTGGCAATACCATACCATGCCATCCTTACTTCTCCGATGCTGCTGGCAGCAGCTCTGCCTTCAGAGCTGGGCATCTGGCTAGCAGCCGCCGCTCCCCCTGGTGCCTTCAGAGGTGGGCACCCAGTCAGCAGCTGCCACTTTCCTGCTGCCCAGCTCTGAAGGCGGCGCTGCTGTTGGCAGCAGCGCCGAAGTAAGGGTGGCATGGTATGGTATTGCCACCCTTGCTCCTCCGTTGCTGCTGGTGGTGGTGCTGCCTTCAGAGCTGGGCAACTGGCCAGCAGCTGCTGCTCTCCAGCTGCCCAACTCTGAAGACAACGCAGAAGTGAGGGTGGCAATATGGCGACTCCTGTACAATAGGCTTCCCGCCCACTTTTGGGTCAGGACCCTCAGTTTGAGAAATGCTGTGGAGAAATCACACTTTTTTCACGGGTTGGTCATGGCATAAGTAGTAAATTTCACACGTGTGTAACACATCTGTGGAATTTGCTGTTTATGCCGTGACCAACCCACAAAAAATGTGTGATTTCTCTGCAATTTAAGTAGACCCCTAATTATAGCCAATAGCTTGGTGCATGCCCCTGGATTGTAATGAGCAGAGCAGGGACTTGAGCCCATATCCCAGGTGAGTGCCCTAACCACCAGGCTATTGGGTATTCTTGGGTGGACCTTTCTCAGTCTCTCTTGCTGGAGCTGTTTCACTTTGTATAAGTAATTAAATATTCATTTTGAGCATGGACTTGAATTTGGTTCTCCCAAATCCCAGGTGAGTTCCCTAACCACTAGGCTGTAGAGTCTCTCTCTTTCTCTACCAATGCATTCATTAGATGGTACACTAAAAACTTAAAATGAAGTAACTCTGACTTGGACTTAATCATTGAAAACATGTGCATTTGACATATTTAGGTTTAAAAGTAATCAAATTTTAAGCATATAATCAGACTTCTAAGAAATCACATATTGCACATGAGAAGTGAATCGATATACAGTATATCTGTTTAAAATATGCATGCATCACAGTCTGCAGCTGACACCCCTTTGTGAAATTTGATTTGTATGTGTGAAATAATGGAGACATAATTAAACGTGTTTATTTTACTGTGCATAAATGGTGAGGTGTTATGACAATCCTGAATTGTTAAGGAGCGAAACTGATTTACCTAATTGGTAGTTTATGATTCTCTAACTTGGGCAGATTGCTTATTGACATCAGATGTGATAGGGGATCCCTAAAAGAGTGATATGTCAGAGCATAGGTACACATCAGAACAAGGGTAAAGGAGTGAGTTTTGAATATATTACATTCACCAACAGTGTCAGTTTACAACAAAAGAGTTTTCAGGTTTTATACTTTCTTTTCATTTTGAATTTGGCTAGAACATATGGCAAAGACTGTCTTTTAATTACATTGCCACTACATGTGCCACTATAGTTAAGGGTGTGTTTCAACTCTGGTTAAAGGTTGACCTGTTTAAGCCCTCTAATTTCAACATGCTTAAGCAGATTCCTTTGAAATTTGGTGTGCCTTAGGAAGGTGCAGGGCAAGATTAACCACCCAAATTTGGGTTCTTTGAGCTAGGGGTTGTGGAGATATCAGACTCCCCTACTTCCTTCCAAAAAACAGACATTTTTCAAAAAATTTCTAGTGGTTGTTTTTTGGGTTTTTTTTGCACAGAGCTGGAGATCACTCTATAGCTGTGATATGGGTCGAAATGGTCTCAATCTGTCAATTTTTCCCAAAGTAGTGCCTGGCACCCACTAAGCCTTTGGGGCACCCAAATTATGAATTGAATTTAAGAATGTATTCACTTCTTGACTTGTATAGATGTGTAGTCTGGAAGGATTACCCTGCGCATGCCTCAACAAAGAAAAAAAAAAAGTGAGATGGCTTCTGTACAGCCACTTTATGCCTGGCTGGGTATTCAAGTGTATGTGCTGATGCCATTGCCCCTGGTGAACACCCCTTCATTGATCTTTCTTGTCCAAACCTTTGTACAGCTATGCAGTAAAGATTTAATAACTAATGTTTCTTGCTACAAGTAGTCTCTGTTATAATATACACCTCTACCTCGATATAACGCGATCCGATATAACACGAATTCGGATATAACGCGGTAAAGCAGTGCTCCGGGGGGTGGGGCTG